AGATGGAAACCACAAAGATGAATACTAGATGGAGGATGAATACTAAAATGAGCCCAATATTGGGTACCAAAAGCCCAAAGGCCCATGAAGCCCAAAACTAGGCCCAACTAGCCTAAAACCTAAAATGCTATTCTATGTGGTCCAAAATAAAAGACCAAAATATATGATACCTATACTAACATGATGTATACAAAACATATGAAATTAGCTATAACAAAATATGGCCCATGAAAAGTTCAACTTGGGCCTTCCCAGGCCCATCAGGCCCATTGGGCCTTGACTGGCCCAAACCTTCATGTCTAGCCAACTCCTCTTGGCTCCTTCAATATGTCACCTCTTGCCTTCCTAGGCATGATTCCATCAGGTTGCGACAGCAGTAATTCTGTATTAAGAAAAATTTGTATAACCGTCTAATATTCAAAAGTGCACTGGACAAAGAACACCACTCTTGCAAAAACATTTTTTTGTTCACACAACCCCCCTTTCTATGTGTATTTCCGCTAACTTCAACCTAAAGGGCCATCTAACGTGTATTGTTGAAAGATGGCCACTTATATTGGCAACGAGAAGCTCCTGATACACTGCTTTCAAGAAAGTTTATCGGATGCAGCGTTGAACTGGTACTTGCAGTTGGAGAGGGGTAGAATTCTGAGGTTAGCAAAAAACACATAGAAGTGGGGGTTGAATATGTGTGTGTGTGTGTGTGAATAAAGGTATTTTCAAAACGTTTTCGCAATAGTAGTTCTCTTCGTCCACTAGATATGAAATGAAAAACATTGAGTATTATCATCCACTCCTGGACTAGAGTATTCTCGACCACTCCTGGCCTTGAGTATTCTTGACCACTCCTGGCCTTAAGTATTCTCAACCACTCCTGGCCCGTCAGCTTCACTCACCAACGCTAGTATTCTTAGACCACTTCTGGTTCTCCAAGTATTCTCGACCACTCCTGGCCCGTCAGCTTCACTCACCAATGCTAGTACATTCTTCTCAGCCACTTCTGGCTAGTAGTGAGTATTCTTTGACAAGCCCCTCCGAGCTTTACAAGTATTCTTTTCCTAGCCTCTTTAGGATTTACAATGTTGGCTAGACAGTTTTGGTTGAGTGCATACATTACTTTCACAGAGAGGATTGGGAATTTCCTACACTCATTAAGGTTTGCTACCTTAGTTTTACAGAGACTTGTGTTTGAGTGTTTGGGTTACTCTCATGGAGAGGATACATAGCTTTAGAACACTCACTAAGGTTTAGTCCATTACTGAAATTTTGAACACCTTAGTCTACAGAGATACAAATAAAATATTACATTGTACATATGACTATGTATGCTCATCTCTGGTCTCTGTCTCGCAGGCTTGATATCACTCTTTTTCTTCCAATCAAAATGCCCAGGGCAAGGCATATAATCATTCTCTCATTGCTTCTTGCCTCCTTTAATTTTTTTAAGGTTTGAGGTAGTGATATATATATATTCTTGTAGAATCTACCCGTTGCTTGATTTTGAATATGTCCGTTGACACGGAGCTTCCCGTTGCATATGTCCGTTGAAGCTAATATAGTCGTTCATGACTAGTTTCATCCTTTCATTTAATGCATTTGGCCTTGCATTAAATGTTGCTTCATGTTCTTAGACATTGCGTGTATTCTTCTCTATCCTGTTGCAGCAGTGTTTGACTTTATCTGAGACCAAGAAATTATTTGTCTTTTTCTAGTCATGCAGCAATATAGCCGTTGTCTTTTTCTGAAAAAGTAATGCACTTTTTCTGACACATGCATGCTCTGCTTTTGCGTGCTTCTCTTCTTCTTTGTTTCTTCACTTAGATCACGTGTTTTACGTTGAAAGCCTTTTTGTGGTCATAGACGATGTCTTGGCTTGTTTCTTGAGACGTGATTCTTTATTTGCTTGCGTGCTAGTCTTTATTTTCATCTGTTGGTCCTGTGTATTTCAATCTTTGACTTTTGCTTTAGCGTCTGAGTTTTTGACTTTTCTTCGGTATGATTAACAATGTGAATAGACAAACATTGTTTCCGTCTGGAATCTCTCTCAATTTGTGCTATCTTTCGTCTGATGCATAGTTGGCTTTTTTTTACCTTAGTCACATGCCTCGTCTAATTTGTGCTTTGGGATAGTTCTACCAGACACATTTTGGTCTGAGTATTTTATGATTAACTGGTGCATATACGTGTTCCAATTATTCTTTTCTTGACGCTCGATTTCCTACATCATTTGCTTCATCTGTCTCAACTTGTCTGGTTCGTGTCTTGCCTTGACTATTCCTCATAGGCTTCGTTTGATATTTCAGTGTCTCATTCTGATGGTAGTCCTCTTTCGTCTGTGAGCAGACTTCATTTTTATGCTTGATTACCTATCATTTGATTCTTTAATTTGGTTTGTACAATCTTCATGGATTGTGACATTTAATGCTTCTGACTTTGCATTTAATGTTTTTTTGTTGAATCTGCACTTCTCAAGATCTTTTGTACCATTTGTGTGCTTCTATGACTGTCATTAAGATATCTTTGTACTTTGTTGGTATTGTAGCGACAGAGGCATTGTCCTTTGCTGATTGGTAGGTGTACTTGCTCTAACACGCGCTGTTTTGATTTGTGGATAAGCGCTCATCCATTTTTCTTATCTTCCTTATTCTATTTTGATGTCTTCATGTGTTCTTCCAGAAGTGTCGATGCTAGATAGTTCGTCTCGTTGTATCTTTAGACGCAATACAGCTTTCTTGACCATCGTCTGTGTATTCGAGTCTTTGTCTAGTTGGCTGTTGTAAGAACTTGACTCCGTCTAGGGTGCTCTTGTTAGGATTTGCCCATCGTCCAGGGTCTTGTATCGTTTGAGTCTTCATCTGATGTATTCCCTTTGTTTACGTAGCCTTTATCTAATGCTTGCCTCACATCTCCTTGATTCTAGTATGAATGTATATTCTTTATTCAGCAGTTTACCTGTACTTGTATCTGAAACACTAACACACTTGTTAGTAATAACAATATGTATTATATTTGTCTCATTTAAAACCTTGCTGGGAATTTCTTTCATCTTCATCTGACTTAACAAATTCAAACCTGGAAGCAGCTGGTTGATACATTCCTCAGGTGCTACAAGTACAACAACAACCTAATACTTGACAGGTTAGACCTTCAAAGCCTGAGCAAGAAGGGTAACAAACCCTTCAAAGCTTATGCACATAGGTGGAGAGAACTGGCTACTCAAGTAGTTTGCACTTCATTAATAGCGTGTTTGCTTCCGAGTCTAAACGTAAAAATTCACGTTTTCAGGAAGTAAAAAATTTCAACTTCCACGTAAATTTAATTCAAAACGTGGAGAGAGTCAAGAATTACGTTTACAAATTCAAACCAAACACACACTAAATAAACTTGAGATTCAGTAAAAAAAAAAAAAAACTGAGATCAATCAAAGTAGATGGTACATGCGTGGATGTTAAAAAAATGAAAACGTAGAAGAAAAGCAGCGGAACAAAGGGTAGTTTGTTAAGCACACATGGAAAGTATTCTTGAAAGAGAATCGTGACCATTAGATAAGACTACTTAGTAAACACTTTCATAAATCTAAGGTAGAGATGATGCAGAAGATTACACGATAACGTGTCGGATAAAAGGCATCTTCATCCACCTACCGCGCAAAGGACCCACACTCCATAGTGATTGCTAAGTTGTTAGACTTTTATATTATATATATACACTCATCTTCCCAACAATTAAGCCCACTCCTACAGTTCACCTTTCTCCTCACTCCTTTTACCAAATCCTCTATTCTCTTCATCCTTTCATTCTCAAAGAGATAAAAAAAAATGGGTAGCATTGAATCTGAAAGAACAACAGTAGGATGGGCAGCAACAGACCCTTCAGGGATTCTCTCCCCATACACCTTCACTTTAAGGTAATCTTAAATTGTTTCAATTTTAATTTTTACAACCCAACTTTCTAATTTTACATATCTTTCAACTTTCATACGTGGTTCTTACCAAGTATAGCATTTATTATGTGTAAAAAAAACCCATGCAGAAACACAGGCCCTGATGATGTTTACATCAAAGTTCACTACTGTGGAATTTGCCATTCCGATCTCCACCAGATTAAGAACGATCTTGGCATGTCCAACTATCCCATGGTTCCTGGGTACTTTCTCCTTCATCGTGGTTATTTTTCTCTCTATGTTGTGGTTTTTTTGTTGTGACCAACGATGTTTGTTTTGTATTGTTTCAGACATGAAGTGGTTGGCGAGGTACTCGAGGTGGGGCCTAACGTTAGCAGGTTCAAAGTGGGAGAAATTGTTGGGGTTGGACTCTTGGTAGGTTCCTGCAAAAACTGCAGGCCATGTCAATCAGACATTGAGCAATACTGCAACAAGAAGATCTGGTCTTACAACGATGTTTATATCGATGGAAAGCCCACCCAGGGTGGTTTTGCCGAAACCATGATCGTTGAGCAAAAGTAATTATCAAGTTTAATTTCTATACATGTTGAATCAATTTTTAAAAACTATCCCATGATATATTATAAAGACGAATTTATAATTGGACCACAATATATTGTAATTAACTTGATTATGTATGTTAGGTTTGTGGTGAAAATACCAGAGGGTATGGAACCGGAGCAAGTGGCACCGTTGTTGTGTGCGGGTGTGACTGTGTACAGTCCGTTGGCACATTTTGGGCTGAGAGGAAGTGGGCTTAGGGGTGGAATATTGGGCCTTGGAGGAGTGGGGCACATGGGGGTGAAAATAGCAAAGGCACTTGGGCATCATGTGAGTGTGATAAGCTCTTCTGATAAGAAGAAACAGGAGGCCCTAGAACACCTTGGAGCAGATCAATATCTTGTTAGCTCTGATGCCACTGCCATGCAGGAAGCTGGTGATTCACTTGACTACATAATTGACACAGTGCCTGTGGGTCACCCTCTTGAGCCTTATCTCTCATTGCTAAAACTTGATGGCAAGTTGATCTTGATGGGGGTCATCAACACGCCTTTGCAATTCGTTAGCCCCATGGTTATGCTAGGTAACTTTTTCATAGGGTAAAAAAGGTATTGAAGTTCAAGAAACCTCAATACAGCCGTATTGAGTTCAGTGCGGCCGTATTGAAGTTCAAGAAACCTCAATACGGCCGTATTGAGTTCAGTGCGGCCGTATTGTAGTTCAAAATGTTCAATACGGCCGTACTGAACTTTTGGGAGGCCGTATTGGGCTTCATTCCCTCCACTTCCTTATTTTGAGCTATTACAAGACCTCTAGACCTACAGAGAATCCTCCTAGGGCCTTCCATGTTCTTGGGCTTAAACCTTGACTTGTAAGGTCAAAGTACACCTTTTTATATTTTTAGGTCAAAGGGTATTTTAGTCCTTTAGGAGGAAGGGAACCCACACGTCATTTAGGGCTCATTTAGGTTGCATTTAGCTTGCATCTGGGCTTGCATTACATGGCCATGCAACCCTAAATGCAACCCTAGATGCCTTTCCACTCCTATATATACCTTTGGCCTCCCACCATGTACACACTTTGGAATATATGATATTGAGTAAGCATTTTTGCCTCAACATCTTTCCTTAGTCACCTAGGGTTCTTCGGCCTAATACCTCTCCTCTCCTCCTTGTAGACACCTAATTTCGTCCGGGGGGAATACAAACAAAGAAATGGACGTCCATTATCAAGGAAAGGAACTCCTAAAGCAGGAAAATAACAGGACAGGACATCAGAGGGCCAAAAACTCAAAACAACTAGTTTTAGTGGCCGGGAACGGGCCGTTCCCGAAAATAGGAGACAAAAGAGATAGTTGGAATTTATTAAGGAAAAGATTTTGATCTTATTTGGGCAAAGTCAATGTGGTGATCGATGTTCTGAGTAGGAAAACCTTATATTTATCTTCCCTTATAATTAGAGAGATGGATCTTTTGACTCAAATTAAGAATTTAAGTTTGACATGTGAGATTACTCCTAGTAGTGTAAAACTAGGTATGACTCGAGTAACGAGTGGATCGTTGAAAGAAATTCGAGAAACATACTTAGTTGATTCATTTTGGTGACAAGATATGAGGCTATAGGACAAGGTAATAGATAAGAGTATGCCTTAGGTATAGATGGAGTAGTAAGACTTTGAGACCGAGTATGTGTACCTAGTGGACTTATGCTTAGGTGTTTGGTCTTTGTGAGATTACTCCTAGTAGTGTAAAACTAGGTATGACTCGAGTAACGAGTGGATCGTTGAAAGAAATTCGAGAAACATACTTAGTTGATTCATTTTGGTGACAAGATATGAGGCTATAGGACAAGGTAATAGATAAGAGTATGCCTTAGGTATAGATGGAGTAGTAAGACTTTGAGACCGAGTATGTGTACCTAGTGGACTTATAAAAATCAAAAGCATGTTCATAGCATGTTCTTCATGTTCATTAGAGACTCAAGAAAAATGAAAAGCATGGCAACACCTAATAATGGAAACTTAAAGTGTTCAAGGAAGGTTCACAAGGAGCAAGAATATGAACCCAAAGCATTCAGCCAAACAAAGAAAGGCAAAGAAAACAAGGCAAAATCGAATGCAAAGAAAAATGACAAAAGACTAGGAAGACAATGTTTTTACCCTTGATGATCCTTGGCTCTAGATACCACTTGATGGAGTAGTTCCTTCCATGGA